ATCAAAAACTCATCTTCTTCTTCCTCCTCCTCCTCCTCCTCTTCCTCTTCCTCTTCGTCCTCCTCTTCTTCCTCCTCTTCCTCTTCTTCCTCCTCATCATCCTCCTGTCCCTGCTCCCACCCCGTCCTTCCTCCTTCCTCCACCTTCTCCTCCTCCTCCTCCTCCTCCTCCTCCTCCTCTTCCTCCTCCTCGTCCGCGTTCTCGCCCCCGTCCTCCTATAGGACGGACGGATGGAGGGGGAGGAGGAAGAGGAGGGGAAGGAGGAGGAAGAGGAGGAGGAGGAGGAGGAGAAGGAGGAGGAGGAGAAGGAGGAGGAGGAGGAGGGGAAGGAGGAGAAGGAGAAGGAGCAGGAGCAGTTAAAAGAGGCCCCGGTCTCCCTCTGGATGCGCTCGAGCTCGATAACCTGCTGCCCCATGCTTCCAGCGTCGGGCAAGCTCGCGAAGACCATCCCGCCTGGCGCGGAGCGCGGGGGCATGTGGGGGGCAGCAACTGAATGGAGAGCAGCGCGGAGGCAAGGAGGATGAGGGGGGAGAAGGACAAGTGGAGATGATGAGGGATAGGAGAGGGGCAGGGGATCCGAGAAGGAGAGAGAGGAGACTGACGAGGTCAAGGGGGGCCGAGAAAGAGGCAGGAGCAGGAGGGGGAGAACGAGGGGGGAGGAGGAGGAGGAGGATGAGGAGGAGGAGGAAGAGGAGGGGTGAAGGAGGACAAACCGAAGAGGAGGAAACTCAAAGAAATGTTGAAGACGTTTGGATCTCGAGGAGGAGGAGGTGAACGTCGGAGCAGGCAGAAATGGGTCAGCCATCCCTTCTGACTCTCCCCAGCTTCGTTTCTCCCTCGATCCTTCCCAATCCTCATCACACACTGCCCAATCGTCATCTTAAACTCTCCTCCCCCTCTCATTCTCTCCCCCTCCTCCCCCTGCTCCTCCTCCTCCTCCTCCTTCATCCTCCGTTCTCCTCTTGCTCTCCATCGTTCTCTTCCCGATCTTGTTTTGCATTGCATCGAGTCGCGCCCGTGGTAGAAGCGGGCTACAGTACAAACGTGGCGTCGACCCTCGACGCGAGGCACGGACGGCAGAGGGTTCCTCCTCCTCCTCCGCCTCCTCCTCCTCCTTTGACTCTGACTCTGGCCCTGACTATGCTTCCTCCTCCTCCTCCTCCTCCTCCTTCTCCACCTTCTCCACCTCCTCCTCCTTCCTCCTCCTCTCCTCCTCCTCCTCCTCGATCCTCCTGGTCAGCCCTCCTCCCTCCTCCTCCTCCTCCTCCTCCTCCTCTCCTCCATCATCTGCTTCCCCTGCTCCTCCTGCTCCTGCCCTCCTCCTCCTCCTCTCCTCCTCCTCTCCTCCTACCTCCCTCCTCCCTCCTCCTCCTCCTCCTCCATCCTCCCTCCTCCTCCCTCCTCCTCCTCCTCCTCCCTCCCTCCTCCTCCCCTCCTCCTCCGCCCCCCTGTTCCCCCTCCTGTTCCTCCTCCTCCCCCTCCTCCTCCTTCTCCTTCTCCTCCTCCTCCTCCTCCTCCTCCTCCTTCTCCTCCTCCTCCTCCCCCTCCTCTGAAGCCCTACTTTGGCTCGAATGCGCCAGCGGCCCACCTTACGCGGCCCACGAAGGCGTTCAGCAGGCTGTCTGGCGGCGGCGGCAGCTGCCCTGGCGCGCTCTGCGCCGTGGCTTCGATGCAAGGGGCGGCGCTCATTGGCTCGCTCACTGGCTCACTCGCTGCCGGCCTCCTCCTCTTGGCTTGCGGCGGCTCCGAGGTCAGCTTGGGCGCGGCAGCAGGGCGCTTGCTGGCTGGCTTCTTCTTCGGTTTCTCCGCCTCGGCCTCGGCGTCGATCTCCTCTGCGATGTCCTGCTCGGGGGCGTCCTCCTCTGGATCTTCGTCGTCGGGAGCTTCGTCACTGCCTCCCTCATCACCAGCTGGAGCTTCGCCACTGCCTCCCTCATCACCAGCTGGAGCTTCGCTGTCGTAGTCGTCTCCCTCATCGCTAGCTGGAGCTTCGCCGCTGCCTCCATCTGAGGCGCCGTCACCTGCACTCTCAGGATCCTCACGCGCTGCAGGCTTGATCCCAATGGCCGCCGCAGGCTTCTTGGCCACTGGAGTGCATGCAAGCTTCTTGACTTCGACGCCCTGGGACTTCAGCAGGCCATCCCTCATGATCTTCAGCTCCTGCTCCGTGGCCTTGCCCTGTGCGAATCTCTTGGCGATCTTGTTCATCCATGGAGTAGCCTCGGCCTCGTCGACGTGCTTGAACGCGAGCTGGAGTTTTTGCTGTCCGTCGACCTTGAGGACTACGCCGTACTCGACGCCTGACTTCGTGCTCGACAGGCCTTTGCGCCCCACCTTGACGTCGCCAACGGGCGAGTCCTTGTCCCTGAAGTACGCTGTTTTCCCTGCCGCTGTGACACTGGCCTTCTCCTTCTTGCCCCCGTTGTCGCCAGCAACCATCTGCGAACGCCACGCAGCCACGGTCAGCGTCGGCAACTCGGCGACGTGCCCGTCGTTCCACCGAGCCTTCATGAACCCGCCTCGGTTGGACCTGTCCTCCGCGAAGAGGTCCTTGGACGGCTCAGGCGTCTCCCCGCCAATCTTCGTGCGGAAGGCCATCCGTTGGACGGCGTCGTAGGTGATCTCGTATTTCGGTTCGCTCGCGCCGTGCTTCGGGTCCTTCTCGCGAGCGCCAGCATCAGGGGACCTGCCAACCGCTGGCGAAGGCGCGCTCGAAGAGGTCGAAGCTCCCTCGCGCAGCTTCTTGAGCCACTTCGGCGCGGAAGACTCTTTTTCCTTTCTCAGGGGGTCGTACAAGTGTCTTGTCATCGATCGCAACCTGGGGCTGAGAGAGGAGGAGGGGAGGAGGAGGAGAAGAGGGGGAGGAGGAGGAGGAGGAGGAGGAGGAGAAGAAGGAGGAGAAGGTGAAGGGGGAGGAGGAGGAGGAGGAGAAGGAGGAGAAGGAGGAGGGCATGGGCTGGGGCTTCCATGGCGTTTTATCGAACCCCCCTCCACATCGCGGACATGCTGTCGGCCCAGGACTCCTTTTTCTCCTCGCTCCAGTCCTCCCAGGCCGACTTGCTATTTGCGATGGAGAGGAACGTCCGCCTCGCCGTCTCGGGAGCAATGGCGAGGTTCGGAGCGACCGACTCCAGCTCCGTGAGCATCTGCAGATTCAATCCCTTGCGTGAGTCTGATGGGGCGCGTCGGTTGGGGTGGGATGGTCAGGAGCAGGGGCCGTTGCCCCTATAGGGGCAACGGCCCCTGCTCCTGACGGGGCCTATAGGCCCCGTCGCCCCGACCGACGCGACGCAGCAGACTCAGGCTAAGTATTGAACTTGCAATGGCCTTCCAATGCGTGGTCACGCGCTCGAGCGCCAAATTGTCGAAGCTGTCCTGGCCTGGGCTGCAGCCATACTCGAGCCACTTCGGGCTCGAAACGTAAGGTTCGATGATGGCCTGCAGAGCATCGTGGTTCCGACACAACTGCCGAGACATCCTGAAAAAAAGCCGAAACAGCTACGTACGAAAATGGATCGCGAGCGAAGCTCGAGGGATCCAAGGCAGAGCAGGAGGACACGGAGTGGAGAGAGCCCAGTTCGGCATCTTCGCGCCTTCGCATGCCCACGCATGGCCTCGGGTGCGCGAGGCTCGCTTATCTTCGCGCCCTGTCGACTGCGATGCGTTCGGAGAATCGGCCATCCGTTCATCCTTCCTCCCTTCATCTCCCTTCTTATCTGCAGGTTGAGGCTGATGCAGGCTGAGGCCGAGGCCGAGGCTGAAGGCAGATTGAGGCTGAGGCTGAAGCAGGCTGAGGCTGAGGCTGAGGCAGGCTGAGACAGGCTGATGCTGAGGCAGGCTGAGGCTGAGGCTGAGGCTGATGCAGGCTGAGGCTGAGGCAGGCTGATCGTCGTCCCGCGTTCCCCCTCCCCTCCTCTCCCTCTTACTTCTTCTCCTCCTCCTCCTCTTGTCCTCCTCGTCCTCCTCGTCCTCCTCCTCTTCCTCCTCCTCCTCCGCCTCCTCCTCCCCCCCTTCTCCTTCACCTTCTCCTCCTCCTCCTCCCCCCATCCTCCACCGCCTCCTCCTCCTCCGTCTCTTCCATCTCCCCCTCCTGATCTCGTCCCCGATCGCTCTCTCCAGCCGGCCCCGCGGCTGCAGGCCTGGCACCGTGAACGTCTCCGCGGCGTCGTCGGGCAGCGTGGACGGCGGCATTCGGCCCCCCAGGCTCGAGGCTGCCGCTAAGTGGCGCGCCGTTCCCCCCAAGACCCCCCCCCGAAAAACGAACGCCCTCCACGAGCCTCCCAGGACCCCCCGACGCAGTCCAGGATCATCGTTCCCCCTGCCCCGAAAAAAGAAGATAGGCATGTTCATTAGTCGTTTGGGTTTCCTCCTCCTCCTCCTCCTCCTCCTCCCCCTCTTCCTTATCCTCCTCCTCTTCCTCCTCCTCCTCTTCCTCCTCCGCCTGCTTCTGTTCCTCATTGCCCCCTCCTCCTCATCCTCCTGTTCCTGCTCCTCCTGGTCCTGCTCCTGTTTCTGTTCCTGCTGCTGCTGCTCCTCGTCCTCCTCCTCCTTCTCAACCTCCTCCTCCTCCTCCTCCTCCTCCTCCTCCTCGTCCTCCTCCTCCTCGTCGCCAAATCCCCATTAACTCGGGCGGAATGGCGCGCTTCCTTAGCGGCAGCCCATGCTGGGTCTCCCCCGACCCTGCGCGGAGAGAGGCAAGCCGCGGCCCAGGTTTGGGCCATGGGAGGAAGGAACGCGAGGCGACGATGTGCAGGCAAGGCAAAGCACCCAACCCGAACTGCACAGGGTTCGCCGACCCGAATGGGCCACCAGGCGCATGAAACGAAGGGGTCCCCAATAACTCAACTTGAAACAGCTACACGGATGGAAGGCACTTGCGATTGAAAGGAACGCTCTCGCCTGGGCGCCGCGCGCATTCGTTTCATTTTTCGGCGCAGACACGGAACGATGAAGGCACATCGCGTGGATTTGTAATACAAGTGGTACCCATAATGTTGCAAATTGCAATAGCGTTGCTCATGTATGACATGAACAAAGTATAAATCATGTCATGTGATCAATGTTGCAATTTATACATACATACATATATATATGTATGAACATGTGTTTGTAAACCATTTGTATATATGTATTCATGGTTTCATATTCAGTTATAAATATAAACGTAAATACGAATATGTATATAATCTTATACAAACGTGTAAATATGTGTCATGTGTATACAATGCACACACATTGTATTGTTGCATCATATGAATGTATCGTTTCACTTGGATGAGGATTAGCGCAAGTGCTAGATCACTGGGATGAGTGTTGCAGTGGGCAGCGCCCACCAACATAAGTGTTCGATGCTGAGTGTTCAAGTGTTTCCGGGCTGCTGATGCAATTGGTGGACCTCCGGGAAGACGACACAGGACGGCAAACCGGTCCCGGGGAAAGGGGCCCAGGACCTCCGAGGGGCCCACGCATCCAAAAAAAATCAGCAGCCGGATTCTTGAAATTGTTGACAGGCGGTGTTGGTTTTCTGTAGTCAACTGAATTCGAGCTGTAGGCAAGCTACGGAGCTGGGAAGCACGCCGTTCGAACGGAAAAGATCTGCAGCGCTAGTCTGGGGAATCGAGGCGCCTGAGATCGGCCTCCCACCAGAGCTGCGACCGAAAAACGATCTGCACTCTGCACGTCTGGGTGCACACCTGCCGCTCCCTGGCCGGGCGCATCCTGGGTCCAGGAGCTGTGCAGGCGCCCTCCGGGCCGGGCCAGGAGGGCGTGGCGTAGCGGTGTAGCGCTGCGGAGGTCAGGGCGGGCCCGGCCAGGGAGCCCTGGGAAGCTCTGCAGTGGAGGCCCGTGCCGAGAAGCGCCCTGCCTGTCTCCCGGGTGCCCGGGGTCTCCTGGGCTTCGATGGTTTTGCCACGGGGAGCGTGTCGCTCCCACACCAGAGATCGATGGGCGTCCTGGGATCTCAGGGGTGGGGCTTCTTGTGGAGGGTGTTTCTTGTGGTCGAGCCCCTACTGCACCCCTGGGAAAGGGGTCAGGGCTTCTGGGACCGCGCACGGGAAGGTTACGTCGTCGGATATATTTGGAGGCTTCTCGGGAGATCTCTGGAGGCCTCCACGTACGGTTCGGTCGGGCATGCCCCTCTACAGCAGGAGTGTTCAGATATAGCCAAGCAGATAGTATGGTGACGATGCTTCGTGCTCCTCTGGCCATGTTTGGAGATGTTTGAGTCTGACTTGCGTTTCTGCCACAATCCGCCTGTGGGAGGACATACCCGAGCTAACTCTGTGGAGCCGATCCCTCCCTCTCCACCCCTTCCGCCAGCCTGGAGGCCCCAGGGAGGGCAGGGTCAAGTCTGGCCCTGCGCGGCCGGCAGCTCCTGGGAGGGCGGGGCCGGGTCTGCATCTGCCATGGGGCCAGCGCGGCTGGGAGTTTTGGGGGGCTTCTGCGGTCTGGGCTTCTCCGGACTCCTCCTGCTCCTCCTCCTCCTCCTCCTCCTCCTCCTCCTCCTCCTCCTCCTCCTCCTCCTCCTCCTGGGGGCTCTCCGAAAAGGCCTCGCGCGGAGAGGCCCCCGGGAGGGCGGGGTCTGGTTTGGACCTGCGCGGGGCCACAGCGGCTCCGAGCTGAAGAGCGTCCATGGCCCTGGGCTCTCCCGGGGCCTCCAGGGGCCTCTCTGGGACCTCTGAGGACACCCAACCAAGGGAGGGTTGGGCAAGACTTCCCCGCAGACCGCCGCGCCAGAGAGCGCCGCAAGAAAAACTTCAAAGCCCCTCTCATCGGGCACGTCTCCCCCGCGCCACGGGAGGGGCAGCCGGAGACGCCTGAAGAGATCCGGGGGGGTGGGCTTCCAGAGAGGCGTCGTGGCGGTGCGCTATGGGGGGCAGCTGTGCACGCACACCGGGCGGCTGCAGGGCACCGACTACCTCTGCGAGCTGGGCGGGGGACTCTGCGTCGACGCCCGGCAGTACTGCAGCGAGGCGGCGTTCATCAACCACTTCTGCGGCATCGCCGGCGCGCCCAACTGCGAGATCGAGGGCGTCCCCGCCGAGCGGGTCATCCTGATCCGCACCACGCGGGACATCCCGAGGGGCGAGGAGCTGCTCGTGGACTACGGTCCGAGCTACTGCCTGGAGAGCGGCGTGCCTCACCCGCGGGTGCCTGACTGGGCGCGCGAGTTCGCCAGACACCCATACTGATGAGCGAAAGAAGGCTCCCCGTCCCCCCCCTTCAAAAAGCAAATGCTCATTTGCCTCACTCCTCCCCCTCCTCCGCCGCCTCGGTCGGTCGGTCGGCGGATCAGGGCAGAGTCTCGAAGCCCATGCCACGCGTGGGATGAGCACGAGAGCACGAGTAGGGAACTCAGAGCAGCATGCAGCAGCAGGCCAGCAGACTCTGGATGGTGCTGCCCTCCGAGGATCGGCAGACCATCAGGGCACACTCCTCCTCTTCCCCTTCCTCCTGCTCCACCTCCTCCTCCGCCTTCTCCTTCTCTCCGCTCTCTGCTTGGAGGCCTCTTGGGGGGGTCCCCAGAGACAAGCCGCCATGAAGGTGCAGGTTCTCGATCATCGATCTCCCTCCTCCCCCCTCAGAGGCCAGCTCCAAGTCGTGCCCTGTTGGGGGTGCTCTCTGGCCGCAGTTTCTTCGAACGAAAGCCAGCCGTGGCCACGAGGTTGCCACGGGGGGGGCCCATGGTTTGCCCCAGAACGGTGCCAAGAAGCCTTCGATCCCTCGATCCTTCCCGATCCTCCGAGGCCTCCTCCCTCGTCCCCCGTTCCTCCCTCGTCCTCTCCCTCGGTCCTCCCTCGTTCGTCCCTCGTTCCTCCCTCGTTCCTCGTTCCTGCCTCGTCCTCTCCCTCGCTCCTCCCTCGCTCCATGGGGCACAGAGGGAAGTGGATCGCCGCAGAAGGCACGTCCACTCGTTCCTCCCTCCGAGGCATACATACATACATGCATACACATATACATACATACATACATACATACATACATACATACATACATACATACATACATACATACATACATACATACATACATGCATACATACACACATGCATACATACACACACATACATACATACATACATACATACGTACATACATACATACATACATACGTACATACATACATACATACATACATACATACATACATACATACATACATACATACATTACACAAACATGGAGACATGCATACATACATATACACATACATTCACACATCCATACGTACAGATGTACGTACATACATACATGCGCGCATACACGCACACATACATAGACATGCGCACGACGAGCGCCCACGAAGCGCCTACGGGCGCCCACGGCAGGACCCAGTCAATCCCGTACCAACACAAGTAAGAAACCGAATGTGCAAGCATTGGTTGGGGTAACTACATATGTATGTGTATATACAGATGTGCATACCCATGTGCAGCTATCGAAGTATCTCAATCTATTCATACATACATACATACATACCTACATACCTTTATACATACATGCATGTATGTATACGTACATACATACGTACGTATATACATACATAGACATGCATTTACATATTGTGTCAACATATTGGAAAGAGGCCAGCGCAGTGAGCAGGCTCACGACCCGAGCCCCCCGCCATCGGAGCCGTGGCCCCGAGCTGGCCCCGGGCCTGCCGATGGGCCCCATCCCGCGGTCGAATGAGCGGGGCGAGAGCGTTTGGCCGCGTGTTTGATTTCCTTCGGCGACGCCCTAAGATCTACCCTCCCAGATGGGGTCCGAGCAGATGGGGTCGGAGGATCGCGCCGCATCGCCGATGCGTCAGCGATGCGACTCGATGTGGAGCCCGATTTGCTTTACGTCGAAGTCCCCGATGCATAGCCGACGTTGCTAGTGCATCGCCGGTGCATCACCGATGCATCGCCGATGCATCGCCGATGTACAGGCGATGCGTCGCGATCCTCCGACCCCATCTATTCGGACCCCATCTGGGAGGCCTCTAGATGGGCGGGGCGAGAGCGTTGGGCCGCGTGTTTCGTATCCTTCGACGCCTTAAGAGCGGCGACGCGGCCAGCCTTCCGCCCTGGGCCGCTGCCGCCGCCTGGTTCTTCGTTGTCGGCTCTCTCCCTCTCTCCCTCCGTCCCTCCTCTTTCTATCCTCCTGCCCATGCTGCCCTCCTCTCTCCCTCCCTCCTCGTTCTGTCCTCCTGCCCTCTCGGTCCTACTCTCTCTCTCTCTCTCTCTCTCTCCGCCCTGCTCCGCGTTTCTTTTCTCCCCTCCGCCATTTCTCTCCTCTCTCCCATTTTCCCTATCCTTCCAATCTTCTCCCTCCACCCTACTTACCCCGCCCACTCAACATGGACATTCTGACGCCAACGTTGCAAAATGCGTGGCAGGAGTGGGATAGGGGGGCACATCCTGGGCGAAAGGCCGAGATGTCGCGCTCGCACTGGCGACGCGTTTATTTTTTGCACACCACTTCGTTTACGCGCGAGCGGACGAAAATGTCGCTTTCGCTGCGGCGCCGCGCAGATTCCGCCTGAAAGTGGCATTCCCGCCTTGGCGCCGCGCATACTTTTCACTCGCCTATTTTGGAGGCCCCACGCGACCAGGCGAGTTGTCGCCTTGGCTCAGGCTCCGTGCGCAGCTCGTTTGGAAATTGCGTTCCCGCGCGAACGCGGCGCATAGTACGTTCGCCGAGTCGCATGAGAGCGGCAGCGGCAGAGAGGTCGCGCCAAAGCGGGCGAAACGGCGACCTCGCCCAAGCGCCGCGCAGCTTGTGAGCGAAAGACGCAGAGAAACGTGTCGGCGCGGCGCACGCTCCGTCTTCGCCGAGGTCATCGGAAGTGTTGCCATTCCCGCCCCTGCGCGGTCCGCGTAGGTCATCCTTCGCCAAGTCGACGGAAGCGGGGCCGCGCGCGAGCGTCTTCGGTTCGCTGGATGGGAACGCGTTCCAATCACTATACTAGGATGTGCAACAATTGATCAATGCGCGGCCCTGCGCCGGCCGCGCGCGCGACCTTCTCCGGAAGGTTCCACTCCGAGGAAGAGGGCGCAGGGAGCCGACGGGCATGCCGGCGCAGATCAAGGAGGACATGGGCCATTTCTGGCAAACGGTGGGCGCGCGTGGACATTTCGAGGCGCGGCGACCAGCCTGGGCCGATTGACCCATAGCTGAGGTGGCTCGCGACCCTGCAGCCACGGCGCTTCAGATGCGAAGCCGACACGACTGCTGAGACCCCAGCTGCCATTTTGTTGGAATGCGTCGCGACCGGTCGAAAATGCAACGGAAGGGGAAGAACTGGCCAACCATGAACACGCGGCACACCACGCCAATCCGGCGAGACAATTATCCGACGAAGATTGAGCAGAGGAAACGCCCGTTATGCGAGCGTATGCAAGCGAGGAAAGACACGATGATAAGTTGCGTTCTACTGGGGAGATGCTCGGCGCATCCAGACGGCGCCGTGGCTCGAGCACCGCGGGAAAGCCCCCGCACAGATGCGCCCCCTGCCCCCGCCGAGTCGGGCGCCGATGTGCCAGCCGACAGCGGAGGCGAAGGCGGCGCCGACGGCGGGCAAGAAGAGGGCGGCGGCCTCGGCAGGCAAGGGGGCCGAGGCAAAGTGAGAGGCTAAAGACGTCGCGGGGCCGCCCGGCAAGGCCGCGGCGAGACCGGCGCTGCAGCGCGAGGACAACGCGAGGGCGCCCCACCGCGACGACAATTATGCCACCCCGCCCAAGCAGCTCAGCAAGACGTCGGCGGCGCTGGACCAGGCCACGGCGCACCGCGGGGACGAGGGCCGCAGGGCGAGGAAGAAGGCGCGGGATACGGGCCAGGACTTCCCAGGCAACCCGCTGGGCAAGAGGCCAGACGCGCCGGCGAGAGCGGCCATTTTTCGCGTCGCCGAGGCGATGGAGGCCGACGAGACAGGCGGCGACGGCAGCAGAGCAGGGCGTGGAGCGGCAGGGGGCGAAGCACGCGATCGAGGCGGCACTCCGCATGGGCAAGTCGGCGCAGGACCCGTCGGTGAAGTTCGCGGCCACGAAGTGCTTCCGCGCGAAGGCCAAGGACGGCGGGGTGCGACGGCGAGGCCGCGGGCGCGGGAGAGGCGAAGTGGATCTTCGCGGCCAACCATTACACCGCGCTGAAGGGGGCGCGGAGAGCCCCGAGGATGAATGGGGCGCTCGCGGCAGCGCGCACCCTGGTGCATTACGACGTTGCCGCTCGATCGAGGGTGGCAAGGGACGCGGAGCCGCTGGCTTCCAAGAGAGGAAAGTCGTGGCCTGCGGGCAGAGGCGAGAAGAAGAAGAAGAAGAGGAAGTGAGCGGTACGATTGTAGTTTCGCTCTCCCGCACCCCATCGAACCCCCGTCGTCTCAGGCCTCCAGTTGCCCCAGCCAGGCCGTCTGCAAATAGGCGAGCGAAGCTGGGGCAGCACTTCAGCTCTGGACCTCGGCGAGCTGAAGTCAGGTTTTGGGCCGCGCCAAAGCGCGGGGGCCCGAACCACGCTGCCCCTGAGGAGTCAAGGGGTGCGCCGGGGCAGGGCTGGGGCGAAGCTGCCCTGTCGCCCCGTGCCGGCCCTCCCTTTCGGGCACCGACCGACTTCGGGTCGCGCCGCGCAGTTCTGAGCGATTGTTTTGTCGACTTCGCGAAACTTCTTAGGCAGTGGGAGTAGCGATCAAAAGAGAAGGCTGGCGGAAGCTGGCGGGAGTAAGAATCGCCCCCCCGAGAGTTGGCAAGGTTTTTTGGTGCAGGTCTTCTGAAAACGGCCATATCGAGCTCCACCGAAGGCCCCAGTGGCAAAGTCCACATGCGTCTCCCCGCCACATGTTGGCACAACCCTCAACCGCTCCGCGTCTCCATAGGGAGCTCCACCGAGGGCCGCAGTGGCAGGGTCGACACGCGTTTCCCCGCCCAATGTAGGCATACCCCTGACACGTTTCGTGGCCTCACAGGGGAGCCCGCCGAAGTCCCCAGCAAAAGGGTCCACATTCTCTCCCTGCCACGTTTCGGCGCATCCCCATGCAAGTTTCGTGCCATCATACGGATCTCCACCACAGGCCCCAGCGGCAGGGTCCGCATGCGCCTCCTTGTCCCATGCAGGCACGCCCCTCACACGCGTCGTGACCCCACACGCCACGCCCCTCACGCGTTTCCTGGCCCCGTGCGGGAGCTCCACCGACAGCGGCAACCACAGCGCGGTGTTCCCAATTGTGAGTGGTCGGGTGCTCCCCAAGGATCGTCCTCTGCGCTAGACCCCCCTGGCAGCGCCTGTGGTGCCGCCCGTGGCTCGCCCCGCGCGCCAAGGAGGGGGCCGCGCGCCAACTCAAGGGATCCGCGCGGACATCCAAGAGGTATGCTCGCCACGTTGCTTACTGTTTTGCTGCATGTAGGCGTCCAGGACAGTCCACGACGGGCCGTTCGCCACAAGCGTCCAGGACAGTCCACGACGGGCCGGTCGCCACCCCTCGTGGCCAGCCTCCTCACATGGCACGCGGAGCGCGTCAGGGAGGGGGA